GCGGCAGGCGGGAGTCCGCGGCCGGGGGCGGCCGGCGGGCGGGCTGCCCGGGACCGGGCCGGAACCGGGCCGTGCCCCGGGCTCCTGGCGCCCCCTGGTGGGGCGCGGGCGGCAGCCGTTCACCGCTGCGGGCTCGGGCCCCGCCGGCCGCTGTTACGCAATGGAAATTGCGAGAGGCCCGCCCGCCCGTTCGGCCCCGCGGGAGGGTCGTTGTGTTTACCTGTTTTAAACACTAGCTCTTCACTTTTCCAAAAGGACAAATTGGGATATTTGCCTAGCTTGAGAAAAGAGTCGAGTGCTGGGCAGAAAATGGTAATATTTCTCATGTCTTAAAGTGTAACTGCTTGTTTCCAGTTTTGGCATTTGCTTGAAAAGGGCCATTGAGATTCGGAAAGCTAAACTGTCACTTCTTAATTTCAGAAACTTCCTAATCAGGATTTGGTAACTGAAGAGCTCTTGCTCACCCAGTTCTCGATCTGACTCCCTTTACAGTTGAGGACACTGAAGCCCAGGGAAGCTTTCGCGCCTCTGTAGCTTTGTTCTTTACACTGTAGGTTCCCCCAACAGTTTCTGCTAGAAAGTCTGCTAGTGTTTAAAGATCAGATCGGTAGTTCCATTTGGCAGGAATGTCACAGGCTTTGGAAAGACACTTGTAGTGTTGACTTAATTATCTGAATTTAGCTTTGGTAACGGAAAGCGACCTGTAAAACAAGAACCAAGTACACTGGAAGCCGCCTTACAGGGGCGAGACTGGGTTTGGCTTCACCTGTGCAGTTGGAGCATTTTAGTTTGATAACACTGATTCCGTTTCAGGTGAGTATGGGCCTGCAATTTGGATTTGAATGAGAAATGTAATATGGATGGATGCTGGTAAGGTAAAACAAATGCCTCAGACTAAAACTCTGAACTATGTTCAGAAAATGCCAGAAGAGTCCAACGTTCAAACTTTTGAGTAATTTTTTGAGAAGTTATAAAGGATGTTGAATGGAAATAAATGTAGCAAGGATTTGGAGATGACTACATTGGGAAAGCCCCCTTTTCATACTGGGTTTGTCAGGGAGGGAATGAGATGGTTTGTGAAAGCCTACTAACTGCTGGAGGCTCCTAGGAGTTACTAATGTCTTGGTCATTCTGAGCTTCACAGGTTATTTACTTGATAGTAGGGACATAAATAGGCATTTCATCTGTATCACCCAGAGGTGACTTTAGGTTTTAAATTACGTACTAACGGTTATTTTCTTTGCAGACTGCAAAATTCAAAATGGGGCTCAAGGTATTCGTTTCATCTACACCAGAGAAGGCAGACCGAGTGGAGAGGCTTTTGTTGAACTTGAATCAGAAGATGAAGTCAAATTGGCCCTGAAAAAAGACAGAGAAACTATGGGACACAGATATGTTGAAGGTTTGATTTACGTTGCCCTAGTAACAGTAAATGTTAAACACATAGAAGTCTTATCCCCTTCTGAATTTTAGGTATTTGACCGCATGGAAATGGTCTCTAAGGGAGTTTGTGGCAGCTCTTCCTAGCTTATCTAAAGACCCAGGAAGTCTGAACTGTGTTCTCTGACTTTCCAAAATTGACTAATTCTAAGCACCTCTTTCAGTATTCAAGTCAAACAACGTTGAAATGGATTGGGTGTTGAAGCATACTGGTCCAAATAGTCCCGACACGGCCAATGATGGCTTTGTACGGCTTAGAGGACTCCCCTTTGGATGTAGCAAGGAAGAAATTGTTCAGTTCTTCTCAGGTATGTAGTCCCGTTGGTTGCTGAGCAGTGAGTTTTGGCTAGCTTCTGGCAACATGACTTAGACCTTAGAGTTGAGTAGTTCAGGTTCTTAATTAGGTTGTAAGTGGTGATTTACTTAACGTTTTCTTCCTGGAGACCTTCAAATAATTTAAGCCCATCTTAAAGGTGGAAAAGTAGTATTTCCAAAATGTTAACTTTGCCTCTATTTAGTATTATAGTTGAGTGTAGGTCTTTGAGGATTGCCCTCATCAGTTTTTAACTATTTCCTCACATTGCTGTTCAGCAAAGTACTTCACGTTGAAGGTAAGATCCCTTTACATTAGTGAGTTAGGTTGTTGTAATTTATAGCAAGAATCTTAGAGACACTTAACATGTGTCATGGAACCAGAAACGTCTTTATAGTTTTTCGTAATGCAAAAAAAAAAAAATACTGGTAGAAGCAACTTGATTTAAACAGCGTATTATAAACTGTTAATGAAAAAATGTAGCCAAAGTAGCTTGAATGCTTGTAGTCTTAGTATCTGAAATACAGAAAGTGTTTTGATGTTGTTCTGGGCCTAAAGTATTTGAAAGTTTTTATGCTGAAGAGCTGATAAAATTGCATGTTTAGCAGAATGTTTAGATCATGTATTTTAAGTACTCTTCTTAATATTCATGATGTGATAAACTGGAATTAAGCAAGAAATCCTTTCATGGTATAGTGTATGTATGTATTAAAAATTTGATTACTAGATAAGTCATATTTTTGTCAGAACTTTTGAAATCAAGTCTGTTGTGTTTTTTATCTAAATTGGTGAGAATTGAATGCTATTTGTCAACCTTAAATATGAACATAATTTCATATCTTCTAGGAAAGTGCTTTAAGCCCTTTTTGTAAGCTTGGGAATGTATCCACGGAAAGGATTTTTCATAAACGGAATTTCCAGAAGTGAATCATACTACTGTTAGAGCATAAGAGTGCATGACCGTGTTGTGTAGACTAGTTGTTTGTCGAAATTTAGATTGTATGTGTGTCAATTTTATGATTTAAGCAATGTTTTGATTTTTATATAGAATGTTTAAATGAATTTTTAAAATTGAAGTTCCAATAACTTAAAGCATTGAAATATATAAAGTAAGGTAAAGGTGTGTTTAGAATTGAATAAAGATGTTATTTAATGCTTAACTTTTATTAAAGTCGTATAATTCTCAACATTATGTTGCATAGATAATAGTTTTATTACGTGTTGAATTCTTAATGCATCCTGTGTTCATTTGTTTATGTATACTTTTCCATGGGGTGTGTTAAGAATTTGAGTTGTACTTTGTAGTAATGGAACTTCATATTATTGCAATGCATATTTAAACAGTACTTGTTGAAAGCATACCATTCACCTAAAGTTAAAATTCTGGTTTATTTAAAGCTATAAGAAGAATCATTTCTGGGCTTGTGATGTTAATATTGCCCCCCTACTGGGGTTATTTGTCCTTGGGTTGAAGGGTTGGAAATCGTGCCAAATGGGATAACATTGCCGGTGGACTTCCAGGGGAGGAGTACGGGGGAGGCCTTCGTGCAGTTTGCTTCACAGGAAATAGCTGAAAAGGCTCTAAAGAAACACAAGGAAAGAATAGGGCACAGGTGGGGATGGATGGTTGGTTGGATATGTCACTTTTCTTATGGTAAACAATTAAATCCATATTCTCTCTGCTTAAAAAGAGGAAATTAATATATTTCCTAGTCTCGATTTTTTTTTTTTGCCACAATCTTAAAATCTTATCTTTGTCCAAGTCCTGTATTGCATTTAAACTAAATTTCAGATTTAAAAATTCCCCCCAATTTGGTTTATTTTATGTAATTTTGTAAGACACTTGATTTATTAACCCTAATCAATGGAGTTGAGAGACTATGGCTTTAAAAAAAAAAGTTAATGCAAACCTGGCTTTAGCTGTAATAACACCCATCTAGAAAATTCATATTACCATAAGAAAATGTGATACTTTCTGATCTTGTTTTTAAAGTTGAAATGCAACAAACTTTTTCTTGCTGTATAAATATTCTGCATATGTATTAATAAGCATAGCTTTCAAGAAATTGTCACAAAAGGTTTTATTCTCTTTGCTTGTGACTATTTTCCATTGAAGCATGCGCTTACCTATGCTGATTCCTACTAAAAGCATAGGCTGGGGTATTTATTGGCGAGGAGAAATGTGTAGTGTGGGCTGGACTGTTGGTGGAGGCTGGCTTTCTAGCCCACTTGCTATACATGCTGCCAATGGATGTAAAACTTGAAATGTTGAAAGTTGAGTGGAATTCATTCCCTCCTAAAATGTTTCTTTATAGTACTCCTCTCTACCCCTAAGGTTAGGCTCTGCCTCAGAGGAGTGTGTTTTCTCTGTAAAATTTACATTAAATCTTAAAATTGAGTGAATTTCTGGTCATCGCCTATGCAAATATAAGAAATCTGGCTTTAAATTTCAGTCAGTTTCATGGCTATGACTAGATTGTTTTCTTGTGTATCTAAATTCTTGTATAAAACAAACTAATGTTTTCTCTCCCCTTCCTACCCCCTTCCTTATGAACAATGCTTTAGGTATATCGAGATCTTTAAGAGCAGTCGAGCTGAAGTTAGAACTCACTATGATCCACCACGAAAGCTTATGGCCATGCAGCGGCCAGGTCCTTATGACAGACCTGGGGCTGGCAGGGGATATAACAGCATTGGCAGAGGAGCTGGCTTTGAGAGGATGAGGCGTGGTGCTTATGGTGGAGGTACGTGCAGATATGTGTATCAGGGTTGGCAAGCCCCATCCTCCTTTGTCTAGGTTTTATTTGATTGATTGCACTTAACTGTCTTTCAGGCTATGGAGGCTATGATGATTATAATGGCTATAATGACGGCTATGGATTTGGGTCAGATAGATTTGGAAGAGGTAAGGTAAGAATTAAATCTGCCAGCTGCAGAGTACTTACACTCTCGTCCATCTAGACCTCAATTACTGTTTTTCAGGAATGTCTGATCACAGATATGGAGATGGTGGCTCTATTTTAAAAAGTACCACAGGACACTGTGTTCACATGCGTGGATTACCTTACAGAGCAACCGAGAACGACATTTATAACGTAAGTGAATGGTGAGCTCAAGAGTTGGGCATTTCAGTGAGGCATTAAAACTTGGTCATAAGTGAGTGCCATGTTATACATTCTAGTTTACATGATGTTTGCAAGATGGCTTGATCTTTGGAATACTTTGTTGTAGTTTTTCTCACCGCTCAATCCCGTGAGAGTACACATCGAGATTGGCCCTGATGGCAGAGTGACTGGTGAGGCAGATGTTGAGTTTGCAACTCACGAAGATGCTGTGGCAGCTATGTCAAAAGACAAAGCAAATATGCGTGAGTGTGGCTTTAAGCACTGGGGCTCTGTACAGGCAGTTATGTGGCTGCTGCAGTTGAGGGATTTGCTTTCCTGTGATGGGTTGGTTCTAAAGGATGTGTTGAAAAGGGTTGGGGGAGAAGGAAAATTTTGGTTTTTACATTTCTGTGCAACTGAAAGGGATTTGTGATAGGAAGATAGTCTTAATTGAAGATGCATGTTCAAAGGCCAGTGTTTGAATTAAGTTAGAGGAACAGCTAGGATTTTCTTAATGAAAAGTAATTTGAAGCTCTCGGATTCATTTAAGAACTTTATTGTGCTTTTCTCTTGTTTTCTTTCACCAACAAACATTTTCAAACTTGTTTCTCTCATTTCAGAACACAGATATGTGGAACTCTTCTTGAATTCTACTGCAGGAGCAAGCGGTGGTGCTTACGGTAGCCAAATGCTAGGAGGCATGGGCTTGTGTAAATATCACTTTAGTGTCCTTTTTTTAAGCTAACCTTGTATGCTTTTTCTCTCATTTCAGAACACAGATATGTAGAACTCTTCTTGAATTCTACAGCAGGAGCAAGCGGTGGTGCTTATGGTAGCCAAATGATGGGAGGCATGGGCTTGTGTAAATATCGTTAGTTTTTTTAAAAACCAAAACATTTATATCTGTATAAGTTGTTTGTAAGTTGATTGTAAGTTAAGTTAATCTGTATTTAACGAGCTTAGCATAACAATGTAAGTTAGGCAGATAAAGCAATTTATTGATTTGAATGAATTTAGTTTATTATTTAATCCATTAAGAATTAGATAAAATTATTTAGGATAGATCATTCAAAGTACTTTTGGGGGAGGGGACTACAGGATGAGATGATCTGAATCGAGTAAAATTTTAATAAATGCAGGATTAAAATAATTTGAGATTTTTGGGTGGTATACTTCGTTGGGACATAGTTTAGGTTTTTGTGATAACTTTTGTATTGATATGCATTAAATTTGCCAACTAAGGGGGAAACCTACTAAGTCTAATCAAGCAGTTTTGTAAGATCCTCGTAAAATGCTTCTGCTTATGGACTTGTGGATTTAGTCCTGCCACTATATAGTTAGGTTAGCCATTTGATTTTTGAGTGGCTCAGATGATGGGTTAGTGTGGTTATAGAGTAGGCAGAAGGAAGCCAGCCAGAAGGGTTATAGTTAAGATCAAGGTTGGAAAATTAGAGATAGAATTACAAGCTCGGTACCTCCAGGTACCATGTGAAACAAGGGACAGGATCTAATGTTCTCTTAACTTAACAGCAAACCAGTCCAGTTACGGGGGCCCGGCCAGCCAGCAGCTGAGTGGTGGTTATGGAGGTGGCTATGGTGGCCAGAGCAGCATGAGCGGATATGGTAAGCATGTTTTTTTATATACTTAGAATAAGTTTAGGTAGATTTCTTTAGCTGGGGGTATGTACAGGCTTCTTTTTGGTGGAATTGGGTTATTAAATCCTAATGTAACTTTTTTAATGACTTAATTTTCAGAAACAGTCATTGGGAGGGGGACGTGTTCTATGAATTAAAAACTAGTTGTTGCAACTTGGATACTTGTTTCAAGCTAGGAAACATTTGCCTCCATTTATTAAAACATTAAGTGGTTCCTTTTTTTGTCTTTTTGTTAGTTTTAAATCAATTTTATATGGAGGGATAATTTTAAGTAGTAGGATGGTGGTTGGGTTCAGGACCGTGTTTACTAGTCAGTTAACCTAGGATTGGTTTTATTTAATTTTTTTTTTCAATTGGTCTAAAGAATGGTGATTTTTGGTATTATAGTCTTACCCTACAAAATCCTTTTGCAGACCAAGTTTTACAGGAAAACTCCAGTGATTTTCAATCAAACATTGCATAGGTAAATATTTTCTCAAAAAATATAATTTAAAAATCCCAATAGCAAGTACTGATATGTTGTAATAACACTTTCTGTAGCAGTCAGTGGCTCTGACTTAACTCCATGGAGGCTGCCATTTTGGGCACAGTGAGTTGCCTTTAGTCTAACTGTTCTCTCACTTCTGCCCACCATGAATAGGAAAAGCAAGAGACTTCCCCTGAGCTCCCTATTCACATGCCATTCGTTGGACACTTTGTGAATGTTTATGGTAAATTTTTTTTAAACGGTGTCTTGTTTAGCTTAAAAGCGAAGTAATTTTGCAATTTTTGAAAAACACTAGTTTTCCTTTAAACTTAATTTTCCATGTTGATCCTGAAGAATCCATTCACATGTAGCACAAGCAGCTGGCACGATGGTCCTGCACAGAAAAGGGGTGACAGACTTGTTTGGAGTCAGGATTCCCCTTTTCCAAACATGCTTCTCGCTACTTGGACAGCAGCCATTTGTACTCGTATACTTCTTAAACTTTTCCTGGAATGCTGTTTAATTTGAGTGATAATCTGACACTGCTCCTAACTTGTCAAATTACTTTTCTTGCAGGGAGCCAAGGAGCAGTGAGCAGCAGCTGCTACAGTAGCGGAGCCCGTGCATCTGTGGGCGTGAACGGAATGGGAGGGATGTCTAGCATGTCCAGTATGAGTGGTGGATGGGGAATGTGATTGATCCTGGTTCACTGACTCTTGGTCAACTTTTTTTAAGAAAAAACTTAAGTTTAACAGTTTTTGCAATACAAGCGTGTGATTTATGCGTACTCTATAAGTGGAAATCAGGACTGTTTCAAAGACTCAAGGTTCAGTATTTTGAACACAACACTCAGCCTAGGCTATAAGATGAAATGAGGAAACTGTAACTGTTAACGCTTTCCAGCTTTTCTCAAGTTAGTTACATTGTAGGGTGTACTTAAGCAGTAAGTGTATTTAGGTTGAGTTATGTTAAATGTTACTCTTACACCACATTACATCGAACACTGTTTGGATGCATGTTGAAAGACATGCCTTTTTTTTTTTTTGTAAAACTCAATATAGGAGCTGTGTCTACAATTTAAAGTGGAACATTTGGCATGTTAATTCTAGTTTCATTTAATAACCCGTAAGGCACGTAAGTTTAAGCTTTTTTTTTTTTTTTGTAAAACTCAATATAGGAGCTGTGTCTACAATTTAAAGTGGAACATTTGGCATGTTAATTCTAGTTTCATTTAATAACCCGTAAGGCACGTAAGTTTAAGCTTTTTTTTTTTTTTTGTAAAACTCAATATAGGAGCTGTGTCTACAATTTAAAGTGGAACATTTGGCATGTTAATTCTAGTTTCATTTAATAACCCGTAAGGCACGTAAGTTTAAGCTTTTTTTTTTTTTTTGTAAAACTCAATATAGGAGCTGTGTCTACAATTTAAAGTGGAACATTTGGCATGTTAATTCTAGTTTCATTTAATAACCCGTAAGGCACGTAAGTTTAAGCTTTTTTTTTTTTTTTTTTTTTTTTTTTTATTTAAGGGGGAAATTTTGAACACAATAACCAACTTAAAGTGAATCATTTGGCATGTTTGTTAATTGTAGTTTCATTTAATAACCTGTAAGGCACATAAGTTTAAACTTTTTTTTTTTTAAGTTAATGGGGAAAATTTGAGACGCAATACCAATACTTTAGGATTTTGGTCTTGGTGTTTGTATGAAATTCTGAGGCCTTGATTTAAATCTTTCATTGTATCGTGATTTCCTTTTAGGTGTATTGCGCTAAGTGAAACTTGTCAAATAAACCTTCCTTTTAAAAACGGCACTTTGTCTTGTCTGCTTCAGTGTTGTGTAGACTTTCTTGGTGCGCTCTGCCTGGGGCCTAGGTGGCAAGTCCACCGCTGTGGCAGAGAGGCTGTCTCCAGACCTCCTTCCACTGCAGCTAAAGGGAAGTCTAAGTCTGGCTTTGGGGCTGTTGCAGAAGGGCTGTCTGCTTGCCCACTGCATAAGGCCTGATCTGAGTTGTTCCCAAGCACTTGGCTACGGCAGAGGAGGTGGCACCAGTGCTCTTGCGTGTCTGTAAGGCTTCAGGCATGTCTGAGAGGAGTGCCCCACACGGGGGACTAGAAGTTACCTTTCCAATCTGAGTCGTATATATGGGATGTCTTCTGGGAGGAGCTAACTTGGTTTTCAGATAGAATGAAGACTGAAAACATCTATTCCTGGTCTGCTTGGGAGTAGAACTCATTCCCTGTATCTGAAACAGCATGCCAGATAGTATTTGTGAGGGTGAACATGGCAAGATTTAAGTCAAAGGATTGGAATAACGGGTGTTACAAGAAATGTGTCCTTAGGCAGTTTTGTTGTGAACCCCTCAGGGTGTAATCGATGGTGCATGTACTTGCCTGGGCTGTAGGTACATCCTAGTGCCATTCCTGGGGCTGCTGCTGGAGATGCACTGGGTCCATCGGCGTTGGGCTGTGCTGTCTTGGCAGGTGGGAGCTTGGTGGTTGATAGAAGTACCGAGCAGTTCTCGGTGTAGTCCCAAAAATTCCCATGACAGAATTTGTATGTAACCATGAATCATCCTCTGTACTCGGGCCAATGGTGAGATTAACATACAGCATTTGATCAGGAGTCATGGAGACTTAAGGCCTTTTGAAAAAGCCAGTCGTGTAAATTTTTTTTATTATTTGCCCAGAAGGATACAGAGCAAGCCAAGCCACCAGGTCTGGGGTTCAAACTGCAATTGGCCATGTGAGAGTTGAGCTTGTATGAAATTCTGAGGCCTTGATTTAAATCTTTCATTGTATCGTGATTTCCTTTTAGGTGTATTGCGCTAAGTGAAACTTGTCAAATAAACCTTCCTTTTAAAAACGGCACTTTGTCTTGTCTGCTTCAGTGTTGTGTAGACTTTCTTGGTGCGCTCTGCCTGGGGCCTAGGTGGCAAGTCCACCGCAGTGGCAGAGAGGCTGGCTCCCGACCTCCTTCCACTGCAGCTAAAGGGAAGTCTAAGTCTGGCTTTGGGGCTGTTGCAGAAGGGCTGTCTGCTTGCCCACTGCATAAGGCCTGATCTGAGTTGTTCCCAAGCACTTGGCTACGGCAGAGGAGGTGGCACCAGTGCTCTTGCGTGTCTGTAAGGCTTCAGGCATGTCTGAGAGGAGTGCCCCACACGGGGGACTAGAAGTTACCTTTCCAATCTGAGTCGTATATATGGGATGTCTTCTGGGAGGAGCTAACTTGGTTTTCAGATAGAATGAAGACTGAAAACATCTATTCCTGGTCTGCTTGGGAGTAGAACTCATTCCCTGTATCTGAAACAGCATGCCAGATAGTATTTGTGAGGGTGAACATGGCAAGATTTAAGTCAAAGGATTGGAATAACGGGTGTTACAAGAAATGTGTCCTTAGGCAGTTTTGTTGTGAACCCCTCAGGGTGTAATCGATGGTGCATGTACTTGCCTGGGCTGTAGGTACATCCTAGTGCCATTCCTGGGGCTGCTGCTGGAGATGCACTGGGTCCATCGGCGTTGGGCTGTGCTGTCTTGGCAGGTGGGAGCTTGGTGGTTGATAGAAGTACCGAGCAGTTCTCGGTGTAGTCCCAAAAATTCCCATGACAGAATTTGTATGTAACCATGAATCATCCTCTGTACTCGGGCCAATGGTGAGATTAACATACAGCATTTGATCAGGAGTCATGGAGACTTAAGGCCTTTTGAAAAAGCCAGTCGTGTAAATTTTTTTTATTATTTGCCCAGAAGGATACAGAGCAAGCCAAGCCACCAGGTCTGGGGTTCAAACTGCAATTGGCCATGTGAGAGTTGAGCGCCCTAACCACCACACCACCTGCTAGTCCCTCGATTTGGTTATTTTGGGAGTTTTTTTTGCTATAAAGCATGTGCACTCACCAGAGAGAAAAAGTGAGCCCCCAAGGGGATGGCCATACTACAGTCCCTTCATTCTGGGATTTGGGGCATAATTTTAAGTTGCCCGGTCTGAGACTTGAACTGCAGTGGATTACATGAATGTCCAGTGATGTAATTGTTAGGGCATCTGCTAGCCCCCATGCGGAAGCTCTTAAATTATGTGACCGTGCAGAATGCTCTCCAGTGTTGAGTGTAACGTGGTGGACCGCTCTGAATTGGTTGGGGACTGGCCATTCCCTACAGTGCCTACGGCAGTGCTGTGCACTAGGCTCTGCACGTCCGCCGTGTGCCCTACCTGAGAGCTACCTGGGCAGTTCCACATAGGAGTCTGGGCTGCACTGTGGCTTTTTGTCCTGGGTCTAGATGAAACAATTCATGGAGGGGCAGTGTGGAGTTGGCACTGGGTTGTGACCCTGGCATCACCTCTTGAGGTACAGTAACAGTGATGTGGAGTTAAGACCTGGTGCGAGACTGCATTCCCTCCTTCTGTGGGCCCTGCCGTTAACTGACTTGGAGGAAGAGAGGGGCGAGAAGTAGGAAGTTAGACCAAAGGTAAACCAATCCAGAACCATGTGGCTTTAAGAATGTCTAGAATGGGGACCAGCAGGTGGTGTGGTTAAGGCACTGGACATGACCATCTTTGAGTCCTGGAGCTTATGTTTGTTTGTTTTTTAGAAATACTTTATTCATTCATTTTAATTTAACGACAGAAACAGAACGGGAAAGCGAGAAAGCAAGCCGCCAGGTCTGGGATTCAAACTGTGGTCAGCCATGTGGAAGTCCAGCACCCTTAACCACCACGCCACCTGCCAGCTCCAAAATTAAACCATGGACCTGAATTGTCACCTGGAAGTTGGTTAGCAATGCTTCAGAATCTTTTTAAACAAAATGGACCATGCCACGTTTCTCAAGGAAGACTACCTCAACGTGTAGCCTTTCCCCTTGGGTTTGAGAAGGTAGCGTGCTGCTTGACTCTAGGGATGAGGGCTCTGAAGTTCAGGTATGTCTCAAGTCTGAGTAGAAAAGTTGACCGTCACTGGACCGTTCTGAATGATGCACAGTGGTGGAGGTGGGCCGAGTTAAGATGGGTGTGAGAAACATGCACTGAGTACCAGGAGACTCCGACATCCCCTCCACAGGGTCCTGGCAAGACGAGTGCAGCGGCAGGAGCAGTCGGCCTTCTGAGTAGGGAGAGCGGGTCTTGCCCGCGTGTGCGTGTCCATGCACGCGAGGAGAGGGCTGACTCAGCAGGGAGTGGACTTGCTCAAGGCTTCCTGTCAAGTCCAGACTGGGTGCCTTGGTTATCTGTGATAACCCGGCAGTTTGGAGGTGGTGTGGGGTGTGAAGGCTCTTCTGAAAAAGCTGGGCCTCGAGTGGTGGAAGAGGGCCTTTGTAGGCCTTCACTGCTGTGTGCTCTTCCTTAAGCAGTAGGGCTTAAAAATCTTAGCTCCAGGGACCAGCAGTTGGCATGGTGGTTGAGGTGCTGGACACTCCCACATGGCTGACCATGGTTTGAGTCCCGAACCCTTGCTTTCTCACTTTCCCCTCTCTCTGGTCAAATTAAAATAAGTGAATAAATAAAATTAAATAATTCTTAAAAAAAAAAATCTTAGCTTGAGACTTGCTTTGGAGCTGGGCAGCTTTTTTTTAGACCACAGATTATCTTAACACCCATCATGCCATGGATTCATAGGGAGTAGGCTCCAGAAGCTCAGGCTCCTTCCATTGGTTCTCACACAGTGGCTTCTGCGTGGAACAGGCTGGTGCTTCAGTGGAACCCAGGTCCCTTCTTTAGCCTCCTTCTCTTGTCATGTTCCTTCACGTTTTAGGGAGCTAGCTCTGCTCTTAGAACGCTTAATATGCTCAATACGCACATGAATTCTCTTGGCAAGAATCTTGCCCTTGTTTACAATGCCAACAGCAGGCTGGGTAACTGTGGACTCTTCCTGTTTTGCCGTGGTAACATTTGTGGGGCATTCCTTTTTGAGCAGTACCCATTCCTTTGAAGTCTACAATATCAATATCAATCTTGAAGATTTGCCTGTGTGTTGCCAAAGGGACCACTCCATGTTCTCTGCTCTTAGAATGTTTAATATGCTCAATACGCACATTGATTCTCTTGGCAAGAATCTTGCCCTCAACTTGTTTGTTCACAGCAATGCCAACAGCATGCTGGGTAACATTGTAGACTCTAACAGTTTTGCCATGGCGACATTTGTGGGGCATTCCTTTTTGAACAGTCCCCATTCCCTTGATGTCTACAATATCACATTTCTTGTAGATTTGCATAGATGTTGCCAAAGGAACCACTCCATGTCTTCTACAAGGCCTAGAGAACATATATCGGGTGCCTCTCCTCCTTCCCTTTGTGTTTGTCATTTTGGTGAATTACTGGAAGATGGAGGTTCCAGCCAAAAGGGGAACTGAGGCAGTTTTCTGAAAATCTGCTAGAGGGCCTGTGTCCTCGCTGGAGAGACTGAAAAGAGAAAGCAGCCCTCAGGACAGTCACGCTGCAATCCCTTCCGCAGATCTTCCTCAGTGCGCACATGCCAGGATTGTTTTTTTCTTTTAAGAATTATTTTATCTTTATTTTTGGAGAGGTTTTTACTATAGGGCGTGTGTGCTCGCCGACAGAAAGCAAGAAATCACCCCCCGGGGGGATGGCCACGCCACAACTCCATTCTCCTCTTGGGATCCTGGGCATGCACACACACAGTATGAGTTTAAGCACCAGGTCTGGGACTTGAACTGCGGTCGACACGTGGAAGTCCAGCGACATAGCCATTATGCCAACTGCTGGTCCCCTATCTTTATTTTAATTTGACCAGAGAGGAATAGAGAAAGTGAGAAAGGAAGCTGCTAGGTCCAAGACCTGAACCATAGTTAGCCACGTGGAAGTCCAGTACCCTTAACCACTATGCCACCTGCTGGCCCCATAGCAGGTGTTTTTCAAGCTGCTGGGATTCAGCTGCCTCAACTACCAGGCTAGCAGCTGGCCCAGGATTCTGAAGCCTGGTTGCCCAGTCCCTTAGCCTTCTGGGATCTAGCCTCCCTGAGCCTCTCCCATGGTGGGATCTGTGGTTTCAGGGAGTGCTGGAACCAGTCCTAACCCGGGTTGTGGGTAAGCCTTCTGCAGGAACGGCAGGGGCTGGGACAGCTGACCACCAGGCCAGAGTTGGGGGAGTGAAGATGGTGACAGTCTGGAGACGGCCTGTCTGGTGTGTGGGTGTCATACTCGGTATTACCTCTGCGGGCCTTGGACACTTGGGAGGCTGTGGCCCGAGAGGACGCGGCGCCAGTGTTGGTGCAGCTTTTGAGGTCGAGTGATGGCCCAGCGGGCGATTGCCACAGGCATCTCCATTTGTCATCTGCCAATTCCATTAGTTGTCCCTGGCCCCCAGGGAATCGGACTGGTTCTAGGACTGCCATGGCTACCCAAACCCTCAGTGCTGTTCCTCATACAGAACAGCGGGCTCTGCCCCGGCCCTGTGCAGTGCCGGTCACCCCAGGCCACTCCACGGACGACCAGAACTGTGAGTAGTTACTCTGGTGTTCAGTTTTGCTCTAAAAAGCTTTCTCTCCTCCAGCATGGGAGGGGTCAGCCCTGCCTGTCATGATAAAGCCTATTATGAAAACAGGCTGGGGCCCCTGCGGGGCCCGGGGCCGAACAAGAACCTTTAGGTTGAGCTGTCAGGTGCAGTGCAGCCCTTCGAGGGCAGGGCCACGTCCCCCACGGTTAGGGTACTTGCGGCCCTGGCCTGTGTTCCGCAGGGGGCTGTGCCTGTCACCCCGTGCGGTGGGCAACATGGGGGGGCTGAGCCCGGGGTGCCAGGGCAGAGGCTGCGAGACCGGTGGGAGAGGCAGCCAACCTAAAACAGATCCGGCCTGTGGTTGGCTGAAGGCACCAGTGTGGAAGCTGTGAACGCCCTCGGGGCTCTGGTGACAGGCTCACAGGGAGCCCAGCAGACTCCTGCCGGACCAGCCTTGCCCTCCGGCGCAGCTCCCCCACAGCGAGCTCTTAGTCCCGGAGGCCGCACCAGGGCCTGCTCTGAGGCCCCCCGAACAGGCTGGACTAGGGGTGAGGCAGGGTTCCGTGAGGCTGACGAGCTCACTTTGCACACCTGGATGAGAAATAGCGGCCTTGGATTGCAGGGCCGACAGCGGGCGCTCACGAGGGTATGCGGTGGCAGGTTTCCGCACCCAAGCAGAGAAGGTACACTGACAGGCCTGCGTGGCACGGGCGCTGGGCACGTGGGCAGGGGAGGTAAGGAGAGCAACGTAAGAGTACAGTGACTGCAAAATAGGTCAATTCCTTGAAAAGTGGAAAATGACGGTAGCAAAACGAGTGACAACTGGGAGATGGCAGTCCCACCCCGAGGCGGCCCAGATCACAGGTGCAGCTCCCAGGCCCAGCTGGGGTCTGAGCGCCAGCGGCAGGAGGTCTGCTTCTTCCCGGAGAGTTTCGTGGGCAGCAAGGTCCCGCGCCGTGGTCCCGGAGACCCCGAGCTTGGCCCCGTCTCAAGGCTGCCCAGCCCGAGGACGGGGCCGGCGTCCGTGGCGGCATGCGGGCAGCCGGCCTCAGGAGGTGGTGGAGCAGCGCTGCAGGAGCAGGGTGTGGCAAAAAATTCCTTTCATAGGAGGAGGGCAGGGCCAGCTCGCTGCTGGAGCAGGAGTTGCAGAAGATGTGGCCACAGTTCCGGCAGTGGTGCTGGAGGGCACAAGGGCAGTCACGGCCCGGACCGCGTCAGCCTGGGCTCTGATGCCAGGCTGCTGGAGGGCACGCTCCCTAGGGGAGGCTCTTCTGAATTACGTGTCTCACTGTGCGACTGGCCAGCTGTGACCCGTGTCACACGAGGAGCCCGGTTCCCGCACCTCTGTGTTCCAGAAGTCTCACTTTAGAAACGGACCAGACTGCAGCCTGAGACGTGCTGTGGCCCACTCCTCAGGCAGACCTCGGACCCTGAGCTGCCCAGCCCCCAGCAGGCCTCCTGGACTGACCCTGAAGGCTGCCTCAGGAGGGCTGACGCCCAGGAACTCCCCCTGCTAGGCCTGCTGCAGGGCGCTTTCAGGGCTCACGCACTCGGGCAGCCGTCTCCTGTAGGTGCCAGCCGGACACCGGAAGGGGCCAGGCTCCCAGCACCACGGGCCAGGTCAGACGGGGGGTGGAGGGGGCAGGCCCGCGAGGCCCAGCGGGGAGGCTACGCACCTTCCTCCGGGAGATGGAGAACTCCTTCTCACACTGCCTGCAGTGCGTGGCCTCCTCGTCTCTCAGCCAGGCGTGGCCCTGAGGGGACAACACCCAGTTCGACTCAGTGCCCACCCCGTGCGGTGGGCAACATTCCTGGCTGAGGGTGACAGCCGCCTCCTGGCTGCGTCCACGGCTCTTCCTGAGGACCTGCCTGTGCCTCAGGGGTGGCCTCGCAGGGCTGCAGCCAGAGCTGTCCCAGCTCTGCAGCCTGCCCAGGCCCTTGGCGGAGGCTCCCCCTGCACCTTCGCTCACTCCCTTGGTGGGTACCAGAGGGGACTCTGGCGCTTGTGACCTAAACCTCGTGCCGCTGAACCGGCAGGAAGGGGAGGGCCAGCTCGATTCTAGGCCTCGGAGAGCAGATGGTCTCCATTCCAGGGGAGGCAGCTGAGGCTGACAGACGGCCCTGGGAGGTCTGTGTCAGGGAGGGGACATGTGACCTGGGCACACTTCGGGACTGAGGTGTCTGGGGGGTGGCGACTTTATGTACCTTCCCGGCCCCAGTGTCTGGGCACGACGCGATGCGCAGTGACCTCCCGACTGCCCAGGCTGCCCTTCCTCACAGGGAAGAGCTGCTGCTGGTGGCCCTGGGGTCTGTCTCGGGGGTCCTCTCCCTGTGCTGCTGGCGCCACCGCCCTGCGAACGCTGCGGTGCACGGCTGTGCAGAGGCGTTACGCCCGGAGCTCAGCGTCCTGGCTCTGCCAGTTGCCGTGGCCTTGGGAAGTTGAATGCCCTGAGAGGTGAGGGCCTCCGCTCTGGGATGCCGAGGGGCGGGTGGAAGAGGGTGGCTTTGCACTGTTGCCACGGCAGGGGTGGATGGGGCTCCAATAGGTGGGCCCTGCTGCCGTGGGCTGCTGGGCTGGGCTGTCTGGCCACCTGCCCTGAGCCTGAGGGTGACCCAGAGCACTTGCTGCCTCCCCCCGCCAGCCCCCCACCCCAGGAGGCCAGCCTGGCACCTGCTTGCTCCTGCTCTCCTGTGGAATATAATCTGCCCTCCCAAGATGGCCCAGAGGCTCAGCCTACCTCAGGACAGGGCTTGGGTGTCCCAGATGGCCTGGGGCACTGTGGGGCTGCTGCCTCTGGGCCCCTTCTGTGATGGAAGGAAGGGTCTCCTACTCACCTAGGTCTCTGCCACCAGCTTCCTCTACAGGGCACCTAACCTAGGTCACGGCACACGACAGCCATGGCACAGGAGTGGGGCGGGGCAGCCAGGTCCCAGCATAGCCTGCCACAGGGCTGTGCCGCCATCTCAGCCAGGGGACACTCGGGGCGGTGTGTGGCCACCTCCACTGCCCCATGCAGCATCCCCACCCAATGCTAACCACGCCGACACCGGTACCTTCAGTGCCTTGTTCACTTCTTTTATGTCTTCCATCTTCAGCTTGGACCTGGAACAAAACAAAGCAGGTCACCTGGCTGCAGGGCCAACTGCGGCTTCCGAAGCCCCACTCTGGGGGGACAGCACGGTGGGAGCACACGCTGCCCGAGGCTGAGCCTGGGGCCTGTCTGGCCTGAGAACAGACTGATGGGACCTGCAGGGGCTTCAGGATCTGGAATGACTGTCGCCTGGTGAAGACAGGGCCACCTCGTTGCAGCCAGGCTTTGGCTTCTCTGGGCACCAGTCCCTGCACACAGGAGGACATGGTTGCAGGGCAGGGCTCCTTCCTTGGGTGGAGGGTGGAGGGTAGAGGGTGGGGCTCCCCGCTCTGCTCTGGCTTCGACTTCACGCCCCAGTAGGACCTGGGACCTG